GGTCAGCATTTCTATTCCTTTCTTCCATCAACTGATAGGACAGCTCTAGCCAAAATTTTCACCTGAAATGGTATTGCCTTGAACAGCTTTTCCATAGTACCAATCTTTGGGTCAACCTACAATGGCAGCTCTTTTTGGCTATAACAATCTTTTGAAGATTCCTACTATCTAACAGCTTAGGTACATTTACCAGAACTAAGCAAGAAAAAAGCTTTTTTAGACGGTTAGGGGAAGAAACAATAAAAAATACAGCATGTTGACAGAAAATGAAAAATGGATTTAGAAACTTTTTGCAACCTTTAGGCAAAATTTCATCTGGTTATCTCAAATCATTCTCACAATGTGAATGATAGGCGGTCTTTTTGTAGAAATTTCCTAAACAATGACATTACAAAAGAAACAACCCATTTATGTTCTAAATATTTCTACAACCTTGTGAATCACAACTGCTCGACCTTTGAAAAGCTGTAGGTGCAAAAGATCTGCTTCAGCTCTTCGGCATTTTAAACTGTACACAAGAAGCACAATGGCTCAAGATCATTTAAATAAACTTGCCAGCCTTTATACACAAGGTAATTGTTACCTTTCCTTGCACATGCAAGAGTAAACTTTCCATGTTTAACCTATAAAATCACATAACTATCTAACAGCAACGATGAAGCAATTCATATTCTGAGGTGTATTAAAGTGCAAGTAACACAAAGTTTTGTATCTCGTTTTTAAGATTTTTTCCGAACCGTTTCTTATGGTTTAAAAACAGTGTTGCGAACCTTGTTTTTGACGTGTTAGACTTTGGACAGAAAACTCTCCAGCTTTTGATTTTATTATTTATAAGATACAAGCTGATTACATATTAAGTTGCTACTGCACTCAAATTCTACGCCATCTCCCCCTTCTACCTCTTACCAACAACTCTTGAAGACACATGTTCATTTTTCTAGGGACCTGGGGATGAGGTCAAACAGGTTTGAAGATTAGTAATGAGACAAAGCGACAGACAGAAATTTTGGAATCAATGCGTGACACAAAATCAGGGCTGTGACGTCGCAGTGAGAACAGAGAAGAGTTGGATGTGCATTTCCGTCAGTGAAAAAACAGATGCTTGTCTATCTCGGAAAGCCTTCTTTTTTGTTTTGTGTTGCCATGAAGATGTGTAGCAGCCAATTCTAATCACCAGGACAGTTGACTTTTCAACTGGCCAGACGAATCTTCTTTGGTGAAACAGTGCAATGCTTTTGTGAGGACCAAGAGGGCATGTGGAAGCAAACGAAAAATTCAGTTTTGTGTAGAAAGTATTTTAAAGCTGAATGCTTCATTAACCTTACACTGTTCAACACTGGATTTGCTAGAGCTTGTCCTTTATTTTTCATTTTTAAATTTTTCTTGGAACCTGATTCTTTTGGAAGTTGATAATTAGCACATAATTAGATGTTACTTCTTTTAGATAAACAGGTCCTTGATTAATAGGGGCTAACCCATTTTGCTGAACAAGCTAGCCTGTAATGTTATTTTATTATCATTACTATGACTATTCTGGAATATTTCTCAAGATTACTCAATATTAAAAAAAAGATCAAATTCTTAGTTGTTGTAATTTGCAGTCATGAATGAATTTTTCAATTTCTTTTCAGACTTTTACTGGATAGAAAAACTGCCGTACCAACCATCCATTCTCAGGACACATTCATATGTGAAACAGCAAGATTAGCATTTAGTAAAAGAGAAAGGGCCCGTACTCTGGCATGGCAGGTGCAAGTAGATGCTGCAACCATGTAAAAGCAGCACTATTCAAGGTTGGGTAGCCAATATTAATGGGTTTCTGTCTCCATCTTGTTCCTCAATACCTTGTGCATGGAATCAGGAAACAAAGACCATCATTGAGCTTGAATCGTTGTTCGTAAGAAATTACATTCTAAAATGCCAGCAGGACAATGTCTGCCAAAAGGAAACCAGAATGCAGGAACTAAGCCAGTTTGATCCAAGACAGAGTCTACATCAAAACATGAGAAGGGAGCGTTTGTCCAATCTTATCCACATAATTTCTCTAACAAATCCAAATGCAGTATCATTAAAATCTGTTGAAAAAATGGCTATCCAACTGCAGGCAATTTGACACTAACTAACATAGCTAGCGAGATAATGGTAGATCAGAGCTTATCATCAGATGATGCAAAATATCCAAATTTCTAGCCAAAATGTGTTTCACAGAAAAAGAAAAAAAAACTGTTGAAGAGATGACACAAAATCAGGCCAAAAGCAAGAACATGAATGAAGCATCAAAAAGAGCCCTTAACAGCTTCAAAGCACCATTAATACTTCACAACAGTCAACACAATTTCCCGCACTAAAGGTGGTGTATGTCCGAAAAGAACTTCTCTAAACCTAGACCACATCCAAGCAATCAAGTGGGGTAGAGATCATAAAGCAGAGGCTATAAAAGGATTCTATGCAAAAGAAGCAACATCAACTTTAAGCCTAGCGCACACTAGCGATTTTTGTCGCCAGTGACATCAATTTCGTCGCCAGCGACATTGATTTTTGTCGCTGGCGACTGAAGGTTCTTCCAGGCACACTTGCGATCTTTTCTGCATAAGCCAATGATTTTTGGTCTCGATCTCATAATGAGCCTCGTTTAAAGGCGGGAATTTAACAAGCACGTTTTTTATAACCAATGCATGTGGGTGAGGTCTTGGATTGGTCGAAGAAAAGAACAGGGTGCATTCAATAGTTTTGTTTCAGAACTGGAACAGGAAGATAAAGCAATGTATCAACGCTACTTTCGTATGAACAAAACAACATTTCAATTGCTCTTGAATAAAGTTCAGCCGATCATTACAAAAAAAGACACACATCTCCGGAAATCAGTATCTGCAAAGGAAAGACTCTTCGAATCACTCTTCGATTTTTAGCAACAGGTAAAATGGAATTACATCATTGTAATAGTGTTTGAAAAAATCGAAGTCATTTTAGAATTATATTTCAACTCATACAGTAATAGAATCAAGGACCAAGATACCGGGGGCCAGGGAGTGCTTGGCCCCCTGAAAAACTTCAGTAGAATTAATGAAGTACTTTTATTTTGTAAAATATGGCTGTTTTTACTTTCATTTGTCAGGGCTGCCCCCCCCCAAACAAAAAGTTTTATCTTGGTCTTCGAATAGAATGATATTAACCATAAAAACTTTCCAAAAATAATAAAGATCATTTGAAGCAGAACGATTCTCATTTTTTTGCCTCACAAATTATTTAACAAATAAAATATTTGTGCATTTTTGTGCTAAACTTAAGGAACTAATTGAGGTCATTTTTATTTCAGGAGAATCCTTTCACAGCCTTGCCTTTTCATTTGGAGTTGGTGAAAGGACCATCTCAGATATTGTACTGGAAACCTGTGGTGCTTTTTACCAAGCACTGAAAAAGAAGTATCTAAAGGTAACAGCTATTTAATTGTACAAAGTCATTTCTGGCATACTCATTTTTGTGTAAAATTGAAGGCTAAATTATTTAGAAACCTTTTTGCCTTACATTATAGAAAACTATTTCTACATGTGCAACAAATACCTACACCATACCTTAAGTTAATTTGTAAAGTTGAAAGAATCATTATAGATTTGTAAAAAAATATAATCAATGCATGGAAACCATGACTGCCAAACTAAATCTAAATATCGTGTTTTTTTAATGAGAGAATTTGAAAAGATGAAAAAATAATATCAAAAGTTTTCAGTAACTTGAATTACTATCCCTGGGTGAATTGACCATTTCAGGGGAATGAAAAATTAGGCCTTGCACTGCTGTTTTGTGGGCTTACAAATTGATGCTGGCTTGGAAAATATTGCTGGCCTGTCAAATTTCCTCCAATACCCATTTGTGCCTGAAACAATGCATTTTGGATATTGTTTATTGCAATCATGGCTGTCTGCTCATCCATTGCTGACAATGTTTGGCCAACATATTTACCAAAGGCAATACAAGGTGTGCTCTTTGCTGCTTTGGGGTCATCTTCCAATGATGACGCCAGCTTTTTCAACACTTCCATCTCCTCTTCTTCTCCCTTTTTTTGTTGTTTTCCTCTTTCCTCATTGTTTCTGTTGGCTTCTTTGTGGATTTTTTCTCGTGAACAAAAAAAGCCTCTGTATTTTCATTTGCCTCTTCATCCTCCTCATTTAAAGATATTCTCTTTGAATCATCAACATCATCAGTTTCCTGAAATTAAAACAAATTTCTTTTTAACTTAAAGGGGAAGTTCGGTCTAAAATGAAATTTGGCTATATTGCTGTAAATATAACAGAAGGCTTTGTTGTGAATTGTTTTTGCTCTTACCTCTCATTTTACTCTGTTATTCCACGAAAACTGTCTCCTAAAGTCGCCTCGCGATAGGCCGCCATCTTCAACTCTCACGAGGATAATGTTGTTGTTGCCTTTGACGTCATCACGTTCAGAAGATCGCAGTGAGTCACTGAATGAACGCTGCTTACGCAGTCAATAGTATTTTTATCATTCAACCCCATTGTATTTATTGCTCAACCCACATAATATTCACAGATTTATGTAAAAGTATAGAGAACAGACATATTTTTCAACTGCAAGATTTCGTTTTTACCGCAAAATGGCTGAAAAATTCATTGACGAAGTCTTGTCATCAGAAGAGAGCACAGATGGAAACTGTGAATCGGAGGATAATGCGGTTCCTGAAATAAATCGTTTAAAGCCTTTTGATATGGAACCTAGGCGGAAACTTGAAGACTGGGAACTGAACGATTTGGATGGAGAATCAGATGATTCTACTGAGAGTGAATCTGAAAGAGAGAGAATCGGAAATGCCTACTGGTGCGTTTGTGGGGGTAAATGTAAGGCAATGGAAACATACGCCGAAAGTCTTTGCTGCCAAGAAACTAACGATATTCCAGAAAATTACTTCCAAGGTAAACGTTTTTGCTTTTAATTGAAAAAACGCTGTATAACATTGTAAACTATACACATTTGTAGTAAAATATTTGAGTTCGCAGTAAAAATACACAAAAATAGTAACTTATTATATATAAGGGCAACAAAGTATTTTCTTAAGAATACTAGCAAGATCTAAAGAATTAAAGAAAATAATAAACTTATTTCGATGCTCGCAGAGGATCTGGGAATCAGGGCCTTCACACAAAGCGGGCGGGGTGAGAATTGCCCCCCCCTAATTTTTTGCAAGACAATAGAGCTTTTTCAAAATCTTTTAATGGGTGCTAAATGTTCCTTTGAGCCCCTCACTATCCATCCTGTGTCGGAGCCCATAATAATAGAGAAAAATAAAATTACTTAGTCAGTTACTATTACAATTGTTTATTACACTGTGTTCATTTTCTTAAGGCCAAAGTTGCATATCTTTGTCTGCGGATTTCAAGATTGTTTGTTTGACCAGAGCTGTACTCGAAACTGCCCTGTCTGCTATGAACAACTTGAGAGGAGACAAGCTTGTTATAAATAACAGGTAAGTAAAAAACTGTTTCTTTACATGTTAAAAAGGCAAAAGCCTTTTAGGTTGAAACACTGAATAAAAAGTCCTTTTCATTGTAAATATTGAAGACATAACAAATCGTGGCTAGAAATTTCTAACATCTAATAACTATTATCTATTCCGTAGGACTTTACGTTTCGCAGCATATAAGCAATACACGTGGTGGGTTCATAACCGGCTTGGCAAAGGAGTTCGAAAAGTCATTCCATCTTGTGCTATTTGGGCCATTCGGAATAGTTTTCCGTCTGAGAACGCCTACTACGTGCCATTCATGGAGAGCCGGCTTGAGGATAAAAGACTATATCAAGAGAGTGATAGTGACGAATAAAAGCACAAAATTACAGTATACTCTCTTTAAGTTTGGATAAATGAACATAATTGATATGTGAACAGTAAACCCTTTGCAAGTTTGGATAAGTAGGACGCCTACAAAGTAGTACACTTTTGCTCAGTCCATTGAGTGCCCCACTTAATGAAAGTATACTGTATTAACACTAAAATATATTCTTATATGACGAAATTTTTAAATATACATGAAAAATAATTGGTAATTATGTCTCAAAGCGTGTACGTTTGTTTTTTACGGCCTCAGCTTTGTCTGGCTTTTCTTTAGATGCAAGGTATTGTGGTACGCTTCCAGGTATTATAGATTTCGGTGCTTTCTTCTTTTCTCTTGCTTCTAATGTTTTTGTCATAAGTTCCCGTAAATAAGATTTGTCTTTTTTTTCGGGAATTTTTTTTACTACCCAGTTTTGCGTTACTTTTAAAAACGACAACTTGTGCGGATATTCATCATCCCGAGTTTTGGCATGTCTACATTCTGTCCCAGCGTTATGGTCCAATACTGCAAGTTCCGACCTAGCAATCATTCCTTCGAAACCAAAATGCAGCCTTTTGGGACAATATTTATTGTAAAGGGAATGATATACCTCGATTTGCCCCGTGTGACTAAATTCGGTTAAATACCTTAAATCTCTTAACAGGAATTTGTCCTTAATGACCGATTCGAGTGCGACATAAGCAGGCAAACCTTCTATTAACCAATTTTTTTCCAATCTGTCTCTTTTGGATAGCTTTGCATGTGCACACCGTTTATAAATGGTTGCATCTTCCCATCTGTGTATGTTCCTTATATGGTATAAGATACTTAACCATTTTTCGCGAAGAATATAAGGATCTTTGTTGCATGTCGCACAAGACCACTCAAAAGTGATTTATAATTGATTTCATCCAACCATTCAAATCTGAAGCGCCTTTCTTTTTGCTAGCAAAACTAATTTCTTTTTAATATTTTTACTTACGTGCCAAATATCAAACTGATGATTAATGTTACTCTTTTCGTTTTTCATGTATGCCTTGATTTGCTGATGACGATCAGTAGTTAACGATGCCACACTCATCCCTTGATTCTCTAGAGATTGAAGGCAATTTTTCAAACCCTGCTTTTCCATTGCGTTAGAACTCGAGACAGTTCCTACATGGACAACGGAAAAGTCTAAAATTTTCATGGTGTTTGTGTCCATCACAGTATATGTACCATACTTTGCAGAAAAACCTGGCGAATCACATCTACCGTCCCCTGCTAAGGCTACAGGACCATCCACTAAGGAAATAAGCTGTTTTCTAGCGTTTTCGTAAAAGTCATCGACAGTTGGGAAAAGTATTTGTTTTTGTATAGCGTGATAGCTTGTGCGACCTAAAAACGATATGTTGCATAGTGAAATCATCTCTTGGATTCTTGTGAAAGTACTGCCGGTATAAAGTATGGAAGCTGACAATTCAAGATCCCCCAGAGACATCCCACGTATTCTCAGAGTGGAGTACCATGATGTTTTGTGGCTATTGCTGCAAATTCGTTCAACTTTTACCATGACCCCACTGCGTATAATTTTCCGTAAAGTCATAGTCGTAAAGCAAGTTGAGCAAATTTGCAGCAATGGAAGCAAGCATGACCAAAACACAACAAATTTTGTGTCGTGGCTTGGTTGCTCGTTGCCTAGCTCCTCATCATCAGTTTCGTCACTAGCCTCCGTAGATGATGCATTTTCGTCGCTGTGGAAAGAAAAATCGGCATCTTTGAAGGAATCGGTCTCACCCTCTGACTCACTGCAGGATGGGACATAAGCGGTAGAATCATCAAATCCTGCCATTTCTTCTGTGTTTACTGCCACATCTCTCATTTCGGGGCCAGTTGAACTTTGACGGTCACAACACTGGGTTCCCACGCTTACCATTGTGGTGAAGGTAGCAACTTTCTTGTGTACCGTATTTACTGTACAACCGACGCTTTTTTCCAGAAATTTTTCAGACTCCGTTTAAATGGAGATGCTTTTGGCAATCGTTTCATCAAGGTCATTGGGGGACGTTGAAGCACATGCAGCATCCAGAAGTTGAAAAATTACATGTTAGATTGAAAACAATTTTTTACTACAAGAAAACTATTGTCAAGTATGTAGACCCGGGATGCCGTCCTAAGAACTAAAGAAGAAGGGCTGTGCAATAGGAAACTTCAAGAGACCACACCCTTAAAGCACTCAATATACTTGCATTTCTGTTAAAGACTCTCCGTTATGTATATTCAAAACATTCAAACTATTAAGCGACACTGTAAAACAAACATGAACTGATTTGTTGAGAGGGAGCTGAGACCCCAAAATTTTTCTGAATTGAATTCTATTAATTAAAAGGGGGCTGAGCCCCCGAGCCCCCCGAGCCCCCCGAGATAGCCCAACGGTATATAGTGACGGTATATAGAAACAGTCTGTTATTCAACCCCCCACAACACTGGATGTTTTATGAAAGTCTTAATACGAATAAAACAATACAAACTCTGCGTTTTTCTTCCCTTGCAGCCCGCTCTATGGAATTTTTCCTCTTTTGTGTCGATTCCCTAAATACAAAGATTGTAGGGATTGCATCTGCCTTTAGTTTTTTTGCACCTGGCTTGTTTTCCATAAGTTCTTTCTGGAAAGTAATTTTTCATAAAACAAAATATTATTCAATTCGAATTTAAAGAAAAATTTGAATTTAAGCAATTCAAAATTCATCTTCTTCTTTTATTAAGCGCAGCCCTATCACATGCTTGTATTTCATTTATTTCACTGCATGAGATATTTCAGATTTTAATCCCTCATGCCCAAAATTGGATACACCTCTTGCAATTTGTGTTCGGCTTACCAAACAGACAAGGCGTTCACGACGCCCATGCAGCAGGCAGAGCAAAAAGGAAATTCATCATGACTCAATATCAATAGAAGAATTACTCATAATAGTCGTCATCGCTAACACGAAGTTGGCAGTGGTTATGGCAAAACATGTTATATGTGCTGTTTTTGTTTGTATTAGATATGTTTTCTGTCACTCCTGTAAATGCTTTACCCCTTTCATTTTGTAATACAATATTTTCAGCCCTAGAAAAAAATCTCGCGCATTCAAGTAAGCTTTTTGGAATGAAACTGACTGAGAAAATAGATTAGAATTGGTGGTTTTATTTTTGCTCGTTTGAGGCATTGATAAGCCGTTTTCATGTTGTTTTTATCTAACAAATGGTTTATTTCATACTCAATGATACAGCTACTTTGAGGTACCCAAATTATATTTGCAGAATTTCTGACGAAACTTCTGACGATTACTAAAACCCGTAGAAAATAGCATTAGCGTATTAATTAAAAATTTAGTTACCTTAAAATCTCTTTCATAGCAGTCTTCGGCAAAGTGTTCCGAGCAAATATAAAAACTCTTGTCTTTCGGTAATTCACCGGCACAACGTATGTTCGTTAGCCACATTTTTCTGAGTTGCTTGTTGCGACCTTCCCCTGGTATCTGATGAAACATCAATTCTTTATTATGACTCGAGCGATTTGTGCACCCAAATGCACCACAGTTCGGCATTTTGAACGAAAAATCTTTAAATACTGTCCGATTTCGAGAAAAGTTGTTTCTCAATCCGAAACCTTCCGAATCAATTAACTTTCACCATAGCTTACACTTGAGTCACTCTCATCTTCTGAACGTGATGACGTCAAAGGCAACAACAACATTATCCTCGTGAGAGTTGAAGATGGTGGCCTGTCGCGAGGCGATTTTGGGAGACAGTTTTCGTGGAATAACAGAGTAAAATGAGAGGTAAGAGCAAAAACAATTCACAACAAAGCCTTCTGTTATATTTACAGCAATATAGCCAAATTTCATTTTAGACCGAACTTCCCCTTTAAGGTTCCTTCAATTGCAGAAGAATGGAAGCAAGTAAGCAATGGTTTCAAATCAAAATGGAACTATCCCTTTTGCATTGGTGCACTGGATGGTAAACATATTGGAATCCAGCAGACAAAGAATTCAGGATCCGAATATTTTAATTACAGAGGGTTCTTCAGCATCTTGCTTTCTGCATTGGTCAGTCAGGACTATAAATTTTTATACGTAGATGTGGGTGCAAGTGGGAGGAATGATGATGCTGGAATTTTCGAAAGCAGCACAATAAAGAAAAAGCTAGACCACGGCACTATTGCGTTTCCAGAGCCAGAAGAATTGAGAAATAAGTTTATCCAGTCTATAAAGATTGCACACCAAGCAATACGCTCATTGACAGTGGGTCAACATTGATCCTCATTGATAAAATGTCATTTCAGAAATTGCAAAAAGAACCACAACTTGAAAACAGCAAGACTAAGATATACACTTATCTAGGCAAAGAACCACTGAAACTAAAAGGAACATTCAGAAAAAAGGTAAATCATTTAGGAATGAAATCCAAGCAAAATTCCATGTCACAAAAGGTTAAAGAGGAGCATTGCTACGACAAAAGACAGCAGAAAGAGTTGATCTTTTAAGAGTAGGCCCAGTCCTAGGTTCTAAAGCAGATCCAACAAATTCACTTAATAAATCAGTAAAGGAAAGCAAACTGAAAACAAAATAGACTCTAACATTCAGAAAGTTCTCAACAACAACAAAGGAGCATTTGAGGGCATGGGTCAATTCAAAGATTACAAGTTGAAACTATAGTAGTAGTACCAATGCCAAATAGACCATAAGATTATGTTGAGATATGAGAAGAACAAATGAAGAGTATAGTAGGAGAAAGACACCAGATTCCCAAAGATAAAGAAATCCTCTCAGAGCTGCATAATGCAAAATACTTTTCAAAGATAGATTTAAAAGAAGGACACCAAGAACTAGAGTTAGCAGAGCTAAAATCAAGGCACATAACAACATTTCTAACACATGAGGTTGTTTTCAATCAAAATGTATGGTCATTGAGTAGAGATGAAATGGCAGAGCGATTTTGCACGCTATTCAAAGCATTGTATGCCAGAAACATAAAGATCAACCCGAAGAAATGTGTATTTGGTACAACAAAGCTCACATATGCAGGATATTGTCTAACAGAAAAAGAAATTCATCCATACCAATCCAAAGTGGATGCGGTCAAAAATGCTAAAGCCCCAACAAATTCAACAGAAGT